CTAAAAGTGCTTGAAGTGTCGAAAATGAATGTTCGATAAAAATAAAGGTTTCGAGTGGTCTGAATTCGATGGCTGCCGAAGGGCTCGAAATCATAACAGATCGAACAACAAATATGTTTTAAACTTCCAAGCGTTCGTCGCACTCATCATATACTTTTTTCAAGTTTACTTGAGTAGAATTGTCAAAATCTACTTTATATATGTAATCTCGATGTTACATAGGTTCTCAAAGTTATAATTTCGTCGACGGGTGTAACTTCGATATGACATATGTATACTCAAAAGTTTATTTACATTTGTTTAATCGAAGAAAATATTATTTTCTTTCTATTCCATTTTATAAGTGTATTTATAGTAAATTATCGGATTATCATAGAAACAAATGTGAATAGTTGTCGTTTTCATAGTCATGTGAATTCGGTATCGAAGTAATACAGAGAGTGCATAAGCATTCTGAACAAATTACATTGACATCATCAAAAGGATGTGTGATATTGGGTTATCTAAGAAGCTATTACAATATCTACGTAAATGTTTATAACAAATTTCAACAGAATTTGTATCAGAGGCAGCAAAAGTGATGGATGTATAGCAGAGATGTATATTTCATTATTGCTCAATACAACTAGCAAGATTTTTCAAAGCATTTTTAATATTTTTGTGATTTCAATGTATTGTTGATCATTGAAAAATTATTTGATCATAACTCATAATAATGCATTATCATCAAATAATTATCCAATAACTTATTTGACTGCTACACTAGTGCCCAGGTAGCTGAAACTATTGTCTACCTATTACATATATATGCGGTTAGTTACGTCTATCTATATCTTTCTTTGAATCATGTATTTTTCTCATTGTTTTCTCTTGGTTTCTTCCTTTATTTGCTTGTCTTACTTGTATTTAAGTGATTTCTTTCTAAAGATGATGTGCTGAATATTACAAATAAAACCTCATTCACATAACTATGTATTTAACAAATATTTTCAGACGATTATTATCTTGAATGATTCTTCTTTCATGAAAATCAAACAATATTTTTTGAATGTTATTGAAAGTTAGAAACAAATTAACAAAAGTAGTTCTGATTCTTAGTTTGATGTATATTTCTTACATATATGACAAATCTATAAGTTTTATTTAATGATTCAGAGGAAACAACTGTGATCAAGATGATTGCGATTTAACTTTATAGAAATAGAATTTTATAGAAAAATACTTAAAATACATCACATACATATTAAAATATTAAATAAAAACTATAAAGAGCTTTTATTGTCGTAATATTATTATTTAATATCGCAGGAAGATCAACGGAACCATAACATATGTTCACCACCATTTCATGACGTATATGAATTCTCGAATAATTTTATTAATTAAAAGATAGAGACATACATCTCCTGACTGTGAATTCTCCGGAAATAGAGGTAGACACATCATTTGCCTCAGAAAAGCAGACATGTAATCTATAAGATGATTGTATAAGATTTCATTATATTTTCTACATTTTTCTGAAATCTTTTTATAAAACAATACTACTGATAGATTTATCTATTCAGCCAACCCATCATTTCAGTTATTGAAAATTTAATATCACTAAGATTTGCGATAGACACTTAGCAGAATTTTTTATATATTATAACAATGGTGATTGTTGATATTTTTGTCACGTGATTATGTTTGTTAATATTTTTTTAAAAGTTACTGTCGTTTATGTTTATGAGTAGATACTTTTCTGGTAATGAATGAGAAGAAAAAGTCTTATTGTGCCACATATTGTTTAAGGATGAGGACTAATGAAAGTGTTCAACTGTCAGAATGAGACATATTTCTTTGACAACGGACAAAGAATAGAAGTGACTTGATACATATATATATTGTATGTACTGTGTCCATAACAATGGTAGACCAATGACAATACGGACCACCATGTGTTCTCAATGTTACTTCTACTCGTTATTTTAACATTTTACTGATTCTGTGAAAAATGTTCCGCCTGATTGTATCATAATCGTAAGCTCGTTATACTTGTTGTTATTTGATAACTATTTGAATATTATTTTTATAGGCTTTACTCCTAATGCAATGTTAATTTTCAGGTTTGATACTGTTGTGTATTTATTTGAAGTAAAGAAGAAAAAAAAACATTGCATGTTTTTGAAGTAGATTTTTTGCTTTTAATTTTATGATAATATGTTACTTGAACACGTCTGACGCTTGAGAAGAAAAAAAACGTATGATAGATCGTCATTACTTGAATATGTAATGATGTGTTAAAAAAAAGAACCACTCTGCTACAGATGGAATCGTTCTTTTTTTTTCTCTCTTACTAATGCAACATTTTTAGACGTACGGAAATTGCATACAGCTCTGTTTTCCTTTTTTTTTTAATTTTGTCGCATTATTTTCTATTGAATATTTATCCATAGATCTTGATCGTTCTTTTTTCTTTTTAATTAAAATTATATCATGTATTCAATAAAACCAATAGATATTTTTTTTTTATTCTATTTCAATATCTTGAAAAGACATATCCAGATAATATTTTAACTTTGTCAACATTACTATCATCATCATCCTCAGGCAAAAAAAAACAACTACTCCTTTTAATTATCAAATTGATTACCTGAGAATAGTATGTGTACTATAAATCTATGTAATGAAAATAAAAGAATGAATAATTCTATCTAATATTGATTGATCTAGAGAAAATAAAATGAACTATAACAATGAGAGAGAAAAACTAAGCACTCTCCGGAAACAATATTGAATAATGAATACTCAAAAATGACAGCGGCAACATAACAGGAAATGATCGTTTATATAATAGAATACGTTTAGAAGATGTAGTCATCTGGTAAAATTACGTTTATTTCAAACAACATTTTTAAACTTTCTTTTTATTTTTTTAACCGTTATAATCATCAACTTAATTGACATGATTATTCTATGATTAACAACCATTCGTTCTATCTTTGATAAAAACATTTTCATATTGAATTTGCTTTTATATGAAGTATTTTTTTTTTTGATCAGTTCTATATATTTAAATCTATAATTATGTTAAGTGTACTTTTTTGTTACAAAATGTATTAGTCAGTAAAACACTGTTTAATCACTAGTTTTAGACATAATATCAATAAAATCTTGATGCTATTAATAGAATCAACTCTTCTGTTTCTGCATTACTTTTCTTTAAACAGTAAAAAAAAAAAAGGTGGCTATTGCCTTAATTATCACATAGGTTATTCATTCGTATGCTTTTATTTCTATTACACTTCGCCTACCATTCTTTCCAATTATCGTAAAAGCTTTCTGATTGAAAGGACTACTTTTCTCAACATGTTGACAACATAAGTTACTGTACATATATTTTTACACAGGCAGATGTCTAAAATCTAGAATTCTTTTTTACTCAACAGATTCGCTATTAGATTCTCTACATCAAATATATTTGATAATTTCAACAGTGAATAATTGAACCAATAGATGCAGATATTGTTCTTATTTATCGAAAAATGGTTCACTCCATAGAAAGAAAAAAAATGTAAAAAGAGAAGCCGAAACCTATATCTATCACGCATCATTTAGTATAAAGAATACAAACAAATATTTACCAAACATTATTTCATGAACTATTGTTCATTTTTGACTTTTGCGTATGAAAGTAGAAATGAAACGAGGATTTCTGTTAGAGATATTTCTATTTCTGCTAGAATTTCTCCTTTGAATAAAAAATTAATAGAATTGATATCTTCTTCAGTGTTTTTGACTTCTGTCTAAAAAGTAAAAACGAATGAATGAATTTTTCTCTAGTGTGAAAATGATGAGATATAAATGATGTTGTTTCTTAAATATTATCAACCATCAACGATTTCTTTTTTTACGTACACTTTGTATTTATCACTTTATAAGTAAGTCGTAACAAGTTCATTTCTGTTTCGTTTTCTGAAACCGATGCGTCATAAAATTATCTATAGTAATCAAAGTATAAGATATTATAATTTTTCCGTGTTATATTGAATTAGTTTTCTAAACAAATAATAGATAATTTTGTTTACTTTTAATTCGTTCTAGTAATCAAGCTCTTGAACTCCTTCATGTATACCTGTCGAATAACATAGCTACTAAGCCATATCAACCGACTTATCTATAAGGAAGTATTGAAATATTTTTTTTTTATTATTTCTGAGAAAATAAGTCAAGATTTTAGGAATAATTTTTGCAGAGATGTACAAAAAATAAACAATATTGCCAACATTTTATAATATCGTCAGTAATTATTTCAATAAAAGTAATTGATTCAGAAGATGAAAATGAATAGTACAATAGTACAATGAAATATATTTTTAGATTTAAATCAAATCATTGATAATTCTATTTCAAGCTGTCGACAAATGTCTCTTGACATCATCAGGAAAACGAATAAAACAATACTGATACAAAAAAACATGTAGGAACAGAAACCACACTGAGTTAAGTAAAGCTTAGTATTGATAAAAATAGAAATAATAAAAAAATTATCGATTAAGTTTATGTTATAAGGAAAAGATTTTTTTTTTTGATTTTATTTTAAAAAAGTGAAAGTGTTTCCATAAAATTAGATGTTCAAATATATGTATATATATAGATCAATATGAAGAACGTGATAATGTAGTCTTTGTAGTTGAGAAAAGAGGAAAAGAGAATAAAAAATTGCGCTTTTTTTTTCATAAATAATGCTCGCAAGTGCACAGCAAAGATAAAGTAAGAAAAATTATTCTTTAGTTCTTTTTGCAACCATGTTTCTATCATTGCACGTATGAAGAAAATATATTATGCTTGAATAATTTTAGATGTGAGAAAAAAAGGACCGATGACAAACTTCTTTCATCTTCATATGAAAACTTACAAGCAAAATGATTTGCAATTATATTTCAACATAAGTATTTAGTTTTTTACGATATACACAATAAAATTGAATATATTAATTGCTTCAAATTCACAATTAGAATATGTTGACAAAATCACTTAAATTATTTACGATTTTAACAAGTTTTATCTTTTTTATTGTAACTATGTCATCTACATTTCTCTATCATCGAAAACTTATTATTATAAATACCACAATTCTAACTATGAATACTTCTAGTCTTTCTTTCTATCCATATATAGCTGTACTTGTTGAATTTCGTGCTGTTGATCATATAATTACTATTGTTCATAATATTAATTATCATATTCCATCAACATGGCCAATTCAAATTTTTCATGGAAAAGATAATGAAGCTTTTATTAAAAACTCAACATTAGCACCATTAATTGCATCTGGAAAAATATTTCTTACTTTAATGGAACAAGTTTATGGAAAAAATCGAACAAATGAATTATTAACAGATCCTAAATTTTGGCAACATGTTCGTGGTGAAAAAATTCTTTTCTTTCAAATCGATTCAGCTATGTGTTCAAATTCTCCACATAAAATTACTGATTTTATTCAATATGATTATGTTGGTGCTCCATGGGATCCAGCATGGTTTGGACCTAGTAAAGACTTA